AATTTATTCTGGGTAGTACCATCATTTTAATTGAAGCAACTCTTCCTATGTAAGTGATATGGGTAAAGATTTCCATCTAGTTAGATCGTCAATTTTCTTTAAAAGTGGGATATGGTTTAATTTTATTAAGTCTTCCAATCTATGAGAGACATTAATACCCAAATATTTAATATTACCTGATTGCAGTCGTGAATTAAGAGAACTGTTAAGAACACAGTTTATTGGAAGAACTGTGGATTTTAACCAGTTTATGGAGTAGTCAGAAATTCTTGAAAAGGAATTTATTAAATCAATAACCTTAGATAGAGAGCTCCCTGAAGATTGTCCTGCAGGCTCTCTGCAGTAACAAAGCAAACAATGGGTGAAACTGAAAGTGAAACTTGAACTGTCTGCTGAGCTCCTAACAGTACTGCTCACTCAGTGAAGCTCTTTTCAGATTCAAAATACCTTTGAGGAAATGTATTTTCAGATGCCAAGTGAACTGCATCATAGCGCGTGCGCGATCCCCCGCGCGCTGAAATGGGCGGGACAGAAGCGGAAGGTGGTTTTTAAAGAGACAGAGGCCAATTTCAAGGTGTTTAGAAGAGGAAGTGATGAGAAGATAAGTTTATTGTCTATTTAAACATAAAAACAGCATTTTAATAACAGCTAAAGGTGACATAGATACTTTATTATGGTATAGTATTTAAATGTATGCCTGAGAAACACATAATATTGCCCCTTTAACAGATTCTTCACCACTGCAGTGAAACCTGGATGATACTGTAACTGTGTGAAAGAGTTTGTTAACAAAACATCTCATCAACCACTCCTCTGATTTTAATGAAACTAAAGTAATCACAAGTTGTACACTTCTTTTAGAGTTAATCTAATTCAAGATGGCCTCCACAGCTAATTGACTAAGAGAGAAAAACAGCTAAGATTTGGTGTGGTAGTAGCTGAGAGTCATCTCCATCACACAGACCAACCACTAACAGATTAAACAAGGTCTTTGTTTATAATAGCATTCAATACTGGTGGGCAATGTGCATGCATTATGGAATTTTAGGCCATTATTTTATTTATTTTTGTTTGTTCTACTCATGAAGAAGTGCAACAAATGCAATCATTTGTTTATTTTTGACTTATTTCATCTAAAAAATGCAGAGAAATCTGTTCTGCTTTTTACATTTCCATTGTTTAATGAGGCAAATTATAAAAACACTCAAACGCAAATCTTTAAATGAGATTTGAGCTCCTCCTTAACTCCACTTCCTGTCACGTTCAGCTGATTTGCAGGAGGACTCAGGTGGCGCTCATCCAATTAACGGATCCTATACATCAGGAAGTGCAGCGGAGAGCGGACTCTGTCAATACAAGTGCAGCTAAATCAGTGTTAAATCTCTGGAACAGATGCGTCCAGTTGTAGCCTCTAACCCAACCCCCACCACCTTCAGACTTGATCAAACCTGGTCCTGGGGGGCCACTATCAGATGCGTCTGTGCTTCAACACACCTGCTTTAAATAAACGAGTCATTAACAGGACTCTGCAGAACCTGAAGACCCGCTGAAGAGCAGGGAAACCTATGGGCCTGCACACACACAGGTGTACGCACAACAAGGAGCTCACATCTACATCCACACTGTTGCCATGGCGCCGCACTGACTGCACTCCCTTACATCGCCATGGAAACGCAACAACAATGACCGGCGCTGGATTGTACATGTGAAGTGGGTCAAGAGCAGACAGGTAAAGTCAACCTAAACAACACAAACGCCTCTCAGCTCTACAGGCTGCAGCAAAACAAACCCAAAGCCCAGCTTCAACAGCTAAAAACCAAACGCTGGTTTTGTTAAACTTGACTTGTGGGATCCGTCACTCAAATCTCAGACTCGTTAACACAGCAGTGGTGTTACACTGCAGTGAGGAATGCTGGGAAATATTCTCAGATATGACTTTTGAAAAGTGGTTTTGTGAAAAAAAGAAACAACACGTCGAAACTGCTTGAGATGATAAAACAAAAATATTTGTAACTCTCTCAATATATATATATAT